TTAAGTACGCATAAGAACTCATAAATACTGGCAAGTACTCGCAAGAAATCGTAATTACTCGCAAGTACTCGTAATTCCCCGCAATTACTCATAAATACACGTTAGTACTCATGAGTACTCGTAAATGAGTACTCGTAAGTACTCGCATATGCTTGTAAGTACTCGCATGTACTCGCAAATAATCTCGTATACTCGCATATAGTCAACTTAAGCAGTCTACTTTGACTCTTTCTAAGCTATGCTATATAAATACTTCCGAAAACGGAAGTTTACCCTTTATTCCAATACAATTTTCCCAAGTTCACAACATTTTTTTACGTGCAATACTTTCCCATAGCCAGGTTCTGCGTGTTTAGAGTCTATTGAATTGCAAAAGTCTCGAATTCCAATGCCGTAGCTCAGCTTAAAGTCGTCTATAGCCAGCGGTGGTGCTGTGTTGTAGTGGTGCTGCGATGGTTTGTGGTTTCGTTTCACATTAGCCGCCTAACAGAGAAAAAAAACGAAGATGCAGCGTGGAGCACGCCTGGCAGCTGCAGCTGGCCAAAAGGATGCGCATGCGCAGCCCAGCCAAGCCGTGTGTAATTAAAGTGTTGCATATTTATGAAAGTCATGCAGCAGGCGCACACAAATAGACACTCAGCCTAAATGGCATCGATGTGGTCTATAAATAGGCTAAATGTTATGGCCAGGCTAACTGGCTGCTGCAAAAGCAGAATGCATGCGCCTTAATGGCGTCTAATAAATGCTCATTGGCATAATAGACACGTGCTCCAAACTGGCAACTATGCAGCATTAATATTGAGTTGATTGATTGATCAATCAAAGTGCCTGCACTTGGAGAGTCCACATTCATTCACAAGGAGCTGCTGGCTGTCATCCTGCTGCCTGTTGACGACGGCAAATTACCAACCGACCGAACTTTGTTGCAAAAGCGCTCGTTGATGTTGTTGGCAATGGCAGGCAACCGTTTGCTCGATGACAACTGCAGCATGTGCTAATCAAGAAAGCAACAGCAACAGCAAATGGGAAGCGGGTCTAACCGACTGCCTAATACCCATTCACAGTGCAAGAACAGGCCAAATGGTTAAGATATATCCATTTGTTTGATCTGCCTCCTGGTTATTTGAATCGATCTTAAGAGTAGTTACTCCAGCTCTTAATCTGTAAAGTAAATATATCCTATTTAAAGAGTAACTTTGGGATACTATTGGATCCATCTGTAAAGGAGATCATCTTCTTCATTTAAAACTTGCTTATTACAGATTTAAAGATATAGATTGCACCCTTTCTCCCAATGAACATGGCCTTATACTATTCGTATATATTCCCAAGCTTATACGAACGGCACCTGGCAACAAATATACCCTAACTTCACTTTGTGAACGAGCATAATAACACTCAGCACACACACACACATAAACTCCCCTAACGCAGCAGACAGCCAATTAAAAGTGCCAGCCAAGTTGAGAGTTGCGTCGAGTTGAAATCGAGTCCGAGTCCGAGTGCGAATGCGAGTTCAGGTCCGCAAGTTCTTTTAATAATAGCTTTAAATGGCTTTTGCGCAATCAGATAACTTGCAGTTTTGCCCGTTGAATTCCAGCTAACTAAATGGCTCCAGGCAATAGCAGAATATACAAGAGCAACAACAACAACAAAAAATGGAATAAAAACACGCACTCAACTCGTTCCCAGCACTCTATCTACCTCCTGCCTCCTGCCTCCTGCCTCCGCGAGTCTGTTTGCATTCAAAGCCAAAGTGAAATTCAATAGAACTGGCAAATGGCATTTGCGAGCGGTGCTTGTGCTCCATGAAGCCCATCCAGAATCGCATCCCATCCTGTCTTGCCAATTGCTGTGCATGTCTCTATACCACGTAACTGTGCCTGCTCAAAGGGTATATATGGCTACAACTAAAGTTTTACAGTTTCTTATATCAAGAGCTTATTAGAGCAACAACTCGTAGAGTTCTCAAAAAACCTATAAAAGTTCTGATTAATGCCTTAAATCCGATTTCGGAGTGATATATCTCTTTCAACTTCCAGGATCGGGCTTTATTTGGCCGAAATATGGACATTTAAAATTTTGAAATTGAAATATCTCGGGTAAAAACATTCCGATTTCGGATTTTAATAGTATAGATTCTGATCTTTTGGTCTATTTTTATCCTTTAATGGAAAAACTGAATCGATTATTTGTAACGCAATCTTTGCATATTCCTTTCATCTCTTAGGCTCAATTATCTCTGAGCTTCATTAAACTATCGATTGACATGTTTGGGAATCGATTAATATTCTATCATCGATTATATTTAACGCAGCCTTTGCTCTTTACTTTCTTGTCCTTAGACCAATTATCTCTGAACTACATTAAACTACAACAAATATCGACCGTCATGCTTATTTATCGATTATTATTCTATCATCGATTTTCTTATCGCTTCTTTGCTTGTTTTTTTAAATTTTTTAAGCTCAATTATCAGTGAGCTACAAAAACAATTAAACATATCGATTGTTAATCCTTTCTATCGATTGTTTTGTAATGCATTTAATTTTTGATTTATTTGATATCTGACAAAATCAAGTTAAGTCTCTAAAGTTATCGATTGTCATGCCTATCGACACTCAACCATACTGGCGTTTTACAGCACTATTATTTAGGTGCTGCCACCTCTTTTATAGGCTACCCTTTTGGTATATCACACCCAACTTTAAGCTACTTCTTCCCTGGCAGTTAAAGCTAGCCCAGGCTGTCCACTCACCTGGTCTCCCTTCGGTGGTCCTCCCCCGGGTGCCAGAGGTTCGGGTTGGAAGTTCTCTTTTATGCAAATGTTTTTGTGTGGCTTGGGGCATTCCAGGCTATTTGGTGCCTGTTGCCTTGGTATTTGTGAGCGATTGTGTGTGTGTGGGTGCACATGTGAGCATGTCCTTGTGCACAACATTTTTATTTTCACTTTTTGTTTTCGCCACGTTCCAAGACTTAGCACGCCCCTCACCAGCTCGTTGTTTGTGGCCGTCGCATCCATTGAAATGAAAAGTTTTGTACGTCCGGAAAATGCTTTCTGCTGCTGCTGCTGATGAGTTTTCTTTATCGCATTGACGCCAACATCTGCTGCTGGGCAGCGAAATCGTGAGGGGCGCATAAAAAAAAAAACGACCGCAATTCAATGTTTAGACAAAAGATCGCAAATGGCTTCGTTTCTACATAACCCACATAAAAGTTGACTCATCCACAATGTGTTATGCTATATACATATGCAAATGTGTGTGTTAATTATTGCAATGCAACTGTCGGATACATATTTTGCGTGTGAGTATCTGTGTGTGTATCTTTTTACAACACACTTTACATGCATTTTTATGATATGGCACATTTGGATCCAAGATTTTGTCATCTCTTTAACACTCTGTTGTCACGAACTTCAAAAATGTGAATTCGTTTCGTTGCGGTTCGATCATATAACGAAAATCATTTTTTTAATTGTATCTACAGTTGCCCGATGAAACAGCATAAAAGGCAAATAGAGATAGAGAGAGAGAGAGAGAGAGAGAGGTGAAGAGAAATGAACACGATAACAATAGCTGTTAGTTTATTAAGGTCAATGTTAATGCCAGACAAGATACATTTGACAGCTACTTGTAACAAATACAATCATGTTATATGAGATTTTAGAGTATTTATCATAAGACTCTTAAGTGTGTAAAAGAGATTTTGACGTGGAAAAACGAATCGATTCTGACTGATTGATGGATGATCAATGCGCAGCTTTAACTGTGAGAGCTGAGAAGTTCAAACCTCTTCAAAAGAGAAGAGCTCTAGGATGGAGTTTTGCAGAATTCCAGCAAGAAGAGTTGGGAAGCGGGGAACGAAGTTTGTAGGAAAAACGACAACAACAAGACTGGCAAGCGTCACAAAACAAGTGTGAGGTCGCTGGTTCAAATCCTGCAGAAATTTGCAATAGATAGACGTGTGTTGCATAACTTTGCACAACTCTGAACTGAACTGAACTCTGAACTACAACCAATTTCTTAACCGTTTGCATTCCCAACATTATTCAATCGAACCAGGCAACGCCGGTTAATTTCTTGCAGTACTTTTACTATCGATAGTTTAATATAACTAAAGAATTGTATAGTTCATTCGAAACGCATAACTTGATCAATATTTTATAAGGCAAATGGAGCTCTTAACAATTCAGCTTAATTTTCAGATAAATTCAACTAGATAATGGCACACACAACTCGCGCCAACACTTAACATAAATATTAAAAACTAAAACAAAGCAAAAAAAAAAACAAATGAAATGAGAAAAAACTTTAAGCAATTTCCGCAATTTTCGATTCGGAAGCGCAATTAAAGTTGAATTTAAAATGCGCGCAAAATGCATAAATAAAATCAATTTGTCGCTAAGAAAGAAAAAAAAAATCGGAGTGAAAAAAAAATCAAGTGGTGCATAGTATAAAATTGTTGCATAAATTACAAAACATTTGCAATATTTAACAACAACAAAAAAGTGGTTAATAATTGACAAAATAAAAAGCAAGATAATTTAAATAAATTGTGCACGTTTCAGATTAAACTAATTGCATAATAATTTAATTACACGCCGGACAAAACAAAAAAACTCAGCCAGAAATTACCCTATGAAATGTATCTGAATATTAAAAATAGAATAAAACACGTTCCGCACACAGCTGATACAGAGTAGCTAAGGCCCAGTAAATTGCTCAATTCAGGTGCAGCTGGCTTGTGGGAGAGAGGTGTGTGTGAGAGGGGCGGGGGCGGGGGCTGGGGGGGAGGCAACACCCACGCACGTGCCTCCTTCTGTGCGCGGAACTGCATTGATATGAAATTTGTTGCTATAGCCTCGCTTTAGCGTGTTTCCTTAATAAAACCAACAATTTTACGACTAGCTTAAGTTGATTTTATGTGCATTTACATACATATATGAAAATATATTTTGCTAACGACAATTTCCTTTTGTATTTAAATTGTGATTGCAGTTGGTACTTCCGCAAAATCAAACGCATCGAGGCTGAGAAAAAATTGCTACTGCCGGAGAACGAGCACGGCGCATTTTTAATACGCGACTCCGAGAGCCGCCACAATGACTACTCGCTATCAGGTGGGTGGGCTACAAAAATGGCATGCGTAATGCCATCAGACTCTCTGAATTACAATGCATATACTATATCGATATATATATCTATGTCTAAATTGCAGTGCGCGATGGCGATACGGTTAAGCATTACCGCATCAGACAATTGGATGAGGGCGGCTTCTTCATTGCCAGACGCACAACATTCAGGTTAGTTTATACATCCCCCCACTCTCCTTATCTAATCTCGTCTATAATTAACTTTAAACAGAACCCTACAAGAGCTTGTCGAGCACTATTCCAAGGATTCGGATGGCCTGTGCGTCAATCTCTGCAAGCCCTGTGTACAGGTATGCCATAAATATTCCGAATTATGCCTTAATTCATGGTATTACCTTTTGGTTTATTCGTACATTGCATTTTAACATGCACTTAACATGCATCTAACATTACGTCTTGCTAGCATTAACATGGCATATTAACATTTAAACATTAACATTTAACATTTTCGTTATGATTTCTCATTGTTTTTACGTAAAAACTTAACGAAAACGATTTTAAAATACTTTTTTTTTTTGTATTTTTTTCCTTTTATTAATATACTAACGATATTATAAAAAAAAAAAATACTAACAAATAAAAGACAAATACATTTACGGGTATTTTTGAGGTAGGCTTTTGTACTTAAACATAAACGTTAATGTGTGTGTGCGTATGCGTGTGTGTATTTGCCACTGCCAAAAAAAAAAAAAAAAAAAACACCATCACGCCAAAATTTATACCAAAAAAAAAACCCATTCATTTTATTTAATTCATGAATAGCCAAAGTACAAAGTGCAATTAAATGCAAAAGCAAAATTATACAAAATTAATGCCAGTTATACACAACAAATTAAATATATTTATATGAATATAGGAATTGTTGAGTCAGTTATAAAATACTGCACTAAAACCAGTTGGGAATTATAAGCTGGCAATTGTAAATAAATGCTTGCGCAGTCCTATTTCTTGTCTAAAACTTTGCCCAATTTGTTGTAGGCATTCTCAAGCTTACGCCAGACTCTACTTATAAATGTAATTATACTATAATTTATATACTTTGTATAAATAATCTTGCTTCATCGCGTGTACATATATATATATATATATATATGCGCATTGTATTTGGTGCAACTGCCAAATCGCGTGTCTAATTTATGCAAAAAAAAAAAACACAAAACTCTGCGAAGGGCATGCAAAAAATTTCAACTTATGCACTTTCAAATTTGCAACGCCCCGTGAGTCAGCGCATTGGCTCAAACAATGGCAAAAAATTTAATTAACCAACTACAGCTAAATGCACTTTGACTTTGGCTTGAGGCCAACACACAATTATAATTATAATAATAATAATAATAGCAGCCAAATTACAACGTTAATTGCTCTTTTAACATCTCCTTCGCTCTTATCTACTTCAACAAATAAAATTAACAATCGAATACGACTGAAATTTAATTTTGTACATAATACCTAAATGTATGCCACATTTACAACCAACTCTCAATTGGCACCTTCATTGAAACGAGCCCAAAAGCACACACCATATCTAAACAATTAGCTCCTACAAATATATAGCATTTTTATATTTTTGTAAGACTAATTGATTTGTACTCTAATCGCAGATTGAAAAACCTGTCACCGAGGGTCTATCGCATCGAACACGCGATCAATGGGAAATCGACAGAACTTCGTTGAAATTCGTACGCAAACTGGGCTCCGGACAGTTTGGCGATGTCTGGGAGGGTCTATGGAATAATACAACGCCCGTGGCCATCAAAACTCTCAAGTCGGGTAAGTTGAAAGACGATCACTTGATCCAAAAAAGTCTAAAAATTGAAATAGGAAATTTTCCTACCAGACTTTCCTATTGAATTTGGATATTGAAATAGTTTACCTTAGAAATGGAATAAAAATCTTTCTCTTTTCTTAAATACCTCACTTTTCTTTACTCTACTTAAAAATAGATATATGTAATTTTCTCTTGGTCCAAATATGCTTTAAAATTGAAATGGGAAATTTTCCTACCCGATTTTCCTATAGAAATTGAATATTGAAATTGTATACCTTAGAAATTGAATCAAAGTCGGGAGCGCCCGACTATAAAATAAAAGTTACTTGAGCTGCATATAGTATTCTAAAAGATACATGCCAAATTTGGTAACTAACTCTTAAAACCAAAGAGATAGAATAGATTAAGAAATATAATTACCATATCGATTTTTATCGATTGCTTGAAAAAGGGGCAAGTTATCGATTATCGGGAACTAGAAGGATCTACGTTCAAAATTGCAAGACTAGCTCTTAAAGATTCTGAGTTCGACGCATCCATATATACGGACAGACAGAGGACAGGTAGACGTGCGGACGGACATGACTAGATCGACTCGGCTATTGATGCTGATCAAGAATATATATACTTTATAGTGTCATAGATGCTTCCTTCTTCCATTTTTACCCATTTTCAATGGATGCAGGGTATAAAAAACATTTGCTCTAAGATACCTTCGGTTAGCACCTTTATGCTTTAAACATTTTTTCTATTTTCTAACATTTCTCGAATTGTGTCTTGCAGGCACAATGGATCCCAAGGACTTCTTGGCCGAGGCTCAAATAATGAAGAAACTGCGCCACACCAAGCTCATACAGCTATATGCGGTCTGCACCGTCGAGGAGCCCATCTATATTATCACCGAGCTCATGAAGCATGGCTCCCTATTGGAATATCTGCAAGGTATGCTTTGTCTATGGTTTATTCTTCTAGATACTATCACAAAAATTGATTAACATAGCATTTGATTCATGAACGCCTCTTTGACAAAAAACGCTTTAATCCATCGTGTCATTTAATATTTCTGATGTATGTGTTTTTAATATCTTTTAGCAATTGCAGGCAAATGTCGTAGTATCAAAATGCAAACGCTCATCGATATGGCTGCCCAAATAGCCGCTGGCATGGCCTATTTGGAATCGCAGAACTATATACACAGAGATTTGGCGGCACGGAATGTGCTCGTTGGCGATGGCAATATCGTCAAGATTGCCGATTTCGGCTTGGCACGGTAAATACAACGAATACAGAATTTAATATCAATTTAAATTTAATGAAATTTTATTTGACATCAACAGACTCATCAAGGAGGATGAATACGAGGCACGCGTGGGCGCACGCTTCCCCATTAAATGGACAGCGCCGGAGGCGGCCAATTATAGTAAATTCTCTATTAAATCGGATGTGTGGAGCTTTGGCATATTACTCACCGAACTGGTCACCTACGGACGCATACCCTATCCAGGTGCGTTTCGCTCAAAATATAATCAATTTAATTCAATGCTAAAATTGTATATTCTTTTCCTTTATTAGGCATGACCAACGCCGAAGTATTAACCCAGGTGGAGCACGGCTATCGTATGCCCATGCCGCCCAATTGTGAACAGCGTCTGTACGAGATTATGCTGGAGTGCTGGCACAAGGATCCGATGCGCAGACCCACATTCGAAACGTTGCAATGGAAGCTCGAGGACTTCTATACATCCGATCAGAGTGACTATAAGGAGGCTCAGGCCTACTGATAAATGCTTTATGCGCCCGCTGCCGCCAAACATTGGCAAACTGGCTGCAACAAGGTGGCGCCCGGCGCTGCAGCCAGCCAAGCGGAGCAGAGCAACAACAGCAACAACAACAAGAGGAAGAAGAACGAAGCATGAAGCAACATTGCGCCGTACAACAGCAACCCAAAACGGACAATTCTTATTTAGTTACTTATTTCAGTTTTGCACAGATTTTCTATGGCATCATAAAGAAACAAAGGAAAGGCAAATATGTAATCCCATGCTCCTCCACCAGGAGCTGAGTGTACGTCTAGGTATCAATATATATATATATATATCTATATATATATACAAACATATATAAATATATAGGAATTACATGTTATTAGCGTTTAAGGCAGGCAGATTTTAGTGTTTAGGGCAGGAGGATTGCAGTGTGCTAAGAATGAAAGTATATATATATATATAATTATATGTATGTGTATTAATAATATTTGTATTTTTGATTACAAAACATTTCTTTTGTTTCATTAAACGCATGTACATTTATATAGCTATATGTATGTATATCGTCATGATTTATGCAATCGGGCGCTGATCAATATATTGTGCATATATCTATATATATATCGGATGTATTGCTAATCATATGGCACACGCATACATAAACATATAGTTCACTTATATATATATATATATACACGAAACGCATAAAGTCACAGTTTTTTATAGGATCTTCATATGCATATTTGTTCTTTTTAGTTATATAGCCATTATAAACGATATTTAAATACTTATATATTTATGCTTTTAGTTAAAAACATTACGTGTCTTACCTTATATTCAAAACAAGCAAACACACACACACACACACACACACACACACTCACACTCAACATAATCAACGACATATATGCTTTATCTTTATCGTGTAATCGTAAAAAGCAAAACAAAAAAAAACAAAAATTAAAAGGAAAGTAAAACGATTAAAAGTTAATAATAATGCAATGCAATAAAGTAAACTCCATATTATTAATGTTATACATTTTAATTGTAATTTTTAATCATTAAATTATACACACACGCATACACATACACACGCGAATCCATGTACATTTAGTGAACAAAAACATCAAAATAAAATTTACTATCGTAATTTATATAAAAAACAAAAAAAACAAACAAGCAGAAATGTATGTTTCATGTATTGCAAAATATTCATTGCTAAGGTTTCAATTTTTATTTTTCAGTTTTTATAACTGATGTTTTATTTTCGGTGAGTATTATTTTGATATTTGATGAGGCACTTTTCTTTGATTTCCCTTTTGACTGAAGTGCAATAAACTGCTTATACTTATAAACAATTTGGAGCCCAACTAAGTTAAATACCTAAACTACGTATATCTTAACCAAGAAAGCATGAATTGAAGGCTGATTTTATAATGCTAACCCTAGTACTTATGTGTTCGTATCTAGTATGTATTCTAAATGATTTGCCACTATGCGTTTTGCTTCTACCTACAATGCACAAAGTATATAAATATTAACAAATTAAACAGCAACTGTAATCAAAAACAAATAAGTAGAAAACATTTCCAAATTGTACTCAAAGCGAATTATTCAACAAACCGTTTTTTCTTTTTCAAACAAATTATGCAGAACTGTCAGAACTTAATTGTAACTAGAAAACTGTCTTTAAACAAAAAAAAAAACTATATATATATATGTGTTTAAACAAGTTACAACAATTTGTGGGCGTGTCAAATATAAATATACATGTATAACGATTGCAATAAAAATAAGTTTGATCAAATCATATGCGTATATATAACAACTTTTGAGCTATAAATTGTGAAATATATATGCAAGAAATTGACAATTTCGATGATATAATAAAGCGAGCATATATATAAATATTGACGTATATATGTCTGTCTATATATATGTATATCAGTTTTGTAAAAGGCCACCGCTTTTGATCTTCCACATATGGGTGTGTGTGAGGTCCCAAACTGGTCAATAATTGTTGATTGAATTTTTGGTCAATGCGAGTTTCTGAACCAAAACAAAACGAAACGCATTGAAAGCCCTGCCTAAAATGTCGTCTGGCAGCCCGCACAGCACCGCGCCCCGTCTCGCTACCCTGACATTGGGCCGTAAGTGGTCAAGCAGGCAAACAAATACACTCACTCGCACACACAGAAAACAATTGCCAATTGATGACGATTCCAACGTTTTCCAATGTTTGCCGCTGAGTCAGTCGAGCAGCACGCCGACAATCGCTCACTTTTGCTTTGTCGATTAATTCGGGCATATACTGCTAAAAAAAAAGAGAAACACATGAATTGTACAGACAGACATGCAGGTACATATATGTTTAGCTAGACTGTAATTGTTGCCTTTTAAGGTAAAACGGCTGCGCCGGCCACAGCTGCTTTTTTTTTCTGTTTTTTTGTTATTTTTGGTGTTGGTAATCAATCAAGGGTGGGTGGGGTGGATCGGCTGGCCGGTTCGTCACGCTGATAAGCCGCGGCGATTCATGCCCCGCATTTGCGGCAGCAGCTACAAAGAATAAAAATAACAATAATATATATCATTTGTTTATCCAAACACTTCCTGCGAACTGAGTGTGCGCGCGCACGGCTTGGCTTTTGTTTATTTTTGGGCCGAAATCAAACATCTTTGGGGCATTAGTAAGCCGCCTTATCGGCAGACGCCCGCGCGCTGACAAATCTCATTTCCATTCACTTATGTCTTAGTCATGTACAAAATACCCGCTCGAAAAATTCATAATACATAAATAATAATAAAAGTCGTTTAGCCATATTCAGTTCTTCATCGCTTTTTATTGTTATTTCTTTTTCTCTTTTTTTTCGTAGCGGTTACAAATACTTTTTAGTTTAGTTTTCTTTTTGTTTTTTGGGTATTTTTGAGTATGTGTAATACATAATAATATATGTAGGAATGCTTGGGAATGTTTAATGTTTAATGCCGAATATGAATACATACATATATGTATATATATATATATATATTTTTATAATAATACCAATGTGCGTATGAACTCGTGAATTTCGATAGAACATAAAAATATGCTAATTTCTTATGTGTAATATGTGTGTGTGTGACTGTGTGGGTGTGGGTGGGCGTGTGTGTGTGTGTGAGTGCGTTTATATGGTATGAGTTCGTATAAAATTGTTATAAAAAAATGTAGTTTATCTTTGTTTTTGCTGTCCCTGTTGCTGGTGCTGGTGCATACGTCCTGTCTGTGTGCGTCTGTCTGCCGCCCCGCACGTCTCTTCTTTGTTCTCTAACCTATTCTAATGCGAGAGAGGCAATCAATGCAATGTTTTGTGTGTGTATGAGGCGTAGCGCACAGACAGGACCACGCCCAGCGTCAGTCACAGTTGTTCTTGTTGTTTTTGATGTTGCTGTTGTTGTTGTTCTTTATGCTGCTGCTGCTGCTTAGAAGCATTTGCGGTGAACAATTGATGGGCCAGACTCGTCGTACTCCTGCTTGGAAATCCACATCTGCTGGAATGTGGATAGGGATGCCAAAATGGAGCCACCAATCCAGACGGAATATTTACGCTCTGGTGGCGCCACAATCTTAATCTTCATGGTGGACGGAGCCAGAGCCGTAATCTCCTTTTGCATACGATCGGCAATGCCTGGATACATGGTGGTGCCACCGGACAGGACAGTGTTGGCATACAGATCCTTGCGGATATCGACATCACACTTCATGATCGAGTTGTAGGTAGTCTCATGGATACCGCAAGCCTCCATGCCCAGGAACGAGGGCTGGAAAAGTGACTCAGGACAACGGAAGCGCTCGTTGCCAATGGTGATGACCTGTCCGTCGGGCAACTCATAGGATTTCTCCAGCGAGGAGCTAGAGGCGGCGGTGGCCATCTCCTGCTCAAAGTCCAGAGCGACATAGCACAGCTTCTCCTTGATGTCGCGCACAATTTCACGCTCAGCGGTGGTGGTGAACGAGTAGCCACGCTCGGTTAGGATCTTCATCAGATAGTCGGTCAAATCGCGGCCGGCCAAGTCCAGACGCAAAATGGCGTGCGGCAGGGCATAGCCCTCATAGATGGGCACGGTGTGGGTGACACCGTCGCCAGAATCCAAAACGATGCCAGTGGTACGACCGGAGGCGTACAAGGACAACACAGCCTGAATGGCCACGTACATGGCTGGGGTATTGAAGGTCTCGAACATAATTTGAGTCATCTTCTCGCGATTAGCCTTGGGATTTAGTGGAGCCTCGGTCAGCAGGACGGGATGCTCCTCGGGTGCCACACGCAGCTCATTGTAGAATGTGTGATGCCAGATCTTCTCCATGTCATCCCAATTGGTCACGATGCCGTGCTCAATAGGGTATTTTAGAGTCAGGATGCCACGCTTGGACTGCGCCTCATCGCCCACATACGAGTCCTTCTGACCCATGCCGACCATCACGCCCTGATGGCGCGGACGGCCGACAATTGATGGAAAAACGGCGCGTGGTGCGTCATCACCGGCAAAGCCGGCTTTGCACATGCCGGAACCGTTATCGACAACCAAAGCGGCAACCTCTTCGTCACACATTTTGCTATATAGATTGGTTTTAGTTTCTGCAATTGAAAAAATAAGACGAACCAAATATGTACACTCGAATCGGCAAACGGCTTACGACTGCCGTCGCTGCCCAGACTTGAGCTGAGACTCGAGTCTCAGACACGCACAAAGAAAGACTGAATTTATTACCTTTTAAGGAAATATAAGAGACGAATGAAGTTTTTTTGTTTCAGATTCTCTGAATTTACCGCTGCGCAAACTTTGCACAATGACTGACGCTTCACAATTGAAACGACGCCTACTTTTTTCAAAAGTGGTTGAAATTTGCCGAGCGCTCGGCGCTGCCACTCTTTTTAAAAATACCAAAAGAAAATACCCAAACAGAAAATGCCTAAATAACGATATGTCTATCGATAAGCGATAAGACGCAACAGCTGCTCAAGCCGCTAAGTGCTTGTTCTTGCCGTTCCTTTGTTTGTCATTGGTTTAAATGTGCAATAAATTAGTTTTTTAATCAGTAAATTAAGTTAATACGCAGGCGCTTTCGATATATTTACATAACCATCGCACATCTCTAGTCTAGCCAGCCAGCCAACCACCCACAAGAGCACCACCCGACGATAGCGCCATTGCGACTTATTTGATAGCCGTGCATTTATCAGACATGGTCGACATTAACTTGGAGTGCGTAAAGTTGATTGAGCCACAGCCAACAACAACCACAGAGCAGCAGCAACAGCAATATCTAGAAGCAGCGCGCATTCTGCTCGTGCTGCTCGAGAATGTGCTGAGTCAGCCAAATAACCTGAAGTTTCGCACCATTAATCTGGAGAACAAAGCGATCAAGGAAAAGCTTCTCTCCCTAAAGGGCAGCGAGCGATTGCTCGATGCAATCGGCTTCAAACGCACGCCAAGCTCCAATGTGTACACTTTGCCCAGCGAAGTGCCGCTGCAGCAGATACAAAAGTTTAGAGACGTATTAAATAAGCGGCGCGAAGCCTGGCTAAACGGCTCAATGCCAAAAAGTGAGTAAATAAAATGATCTTACATCACTATTAAACTGAACTAATCTTGTGCAGGTCCAATTAAATCCCATGTGACAGCAACACGAACAGAAATGGCTACTACCTGTACCACGCCTTTGTATATACAACCTTCGGTGCCCTACAGACAACGCATTGCCTTTCCACGCATGCTGGTTAGTTTACGGAGTTGACATAAGTGCATTCAGTAATTAAATTTTTGAATTTTTAGCGCACGCCCAATCGATTTCTGCAATCCCTGGAGCTCTACAGCGATGCGGTCATGCAGTATGAGGATGAGGCACTGCTGGCCAGCGGACGCAGTCTCATACCCGTCGATGAGCTGACAATGAACGCCAGCAGCAAGCTACTTGCCATGCAGGAACTGATTGCATCTGGCCAGTGCCAGGAGAAGGAACCTTGTATACGTGATCTTCTGCTAGTTGAGCTAGTCAATTGGTTCAAAACGCAGTTCTTCGAGTGGGTCAACAACACACCTTGCCAAGTGTGCGGCAGTGAAGACGGCAAACTGCGTCGCACACAAACTGAGGGTGATGTGCGCGTCGAGGTCACAGTTTGCTGTGGCCAGGAGTCCAAATTCCATCGCTACAATGACATTTCCCAGCTATTGGTAACCCGAAGGGGGCGCTGCGGTGAGTTTGCCAATTGCTTTACATTCCTGTGCCGGTGTCTGGACTATGATGCACGCCTAGTGCACTCCCATTTCGATCATGTATGGACCGAGGTGTTTTCGGAGACGCAAATGCGCTGGCTGCACGTGGATCCATCGGAAAATGTGGTCGACTCACCGCTCATGTATCAGCACGGCTGGAAGCGCAAAATCGATTATATATTTGCCTATTCGCGGGACGATGCACAGGACGTGACCTGGCGCTATACCAACAATCATCGGCAAATATTGCAGCTGCGCAGGCTGTGCTCCGAGAAGGAGCTAATCGAAACGCTGAATGTGATCAGGGCCAAGCGCCAGCAATTCTCTAGCCCCGAACGCAAAAAATTCCTCAGCCAACGCTACATGTGCGAGGTCATTGCAATGACCGTGGAACGGTATGCATTAAAAATTCATTGATTGCGCTTGTTGTTGTTGTTGTAGTTAAAGCTGCTCTTTATGTATTCTTTTTAAACTGCGCAGCACGCCAACCGAGAGCGAGCTGAAGGGCAGAAGCTCGGGCAGCTTGTCGTGGCGACAGTCGCGTGGCGAGCACACATTCACCAATGTAAGTCACCAGCTGCTGTCGTTAATTGTTTTTGTCTATATAAGCACACGATCTGTGGCATTATTTAATTGCAGATATTCGTATTTACGCCAAATGAAAGCGAGCTGGAGCTACGTCAATTCAATCTACGCTACAGTTGCGCCAGCGATACGTACGAGCGATATACCAAAGGTTTGACAGCAAAATCTTATCAAATCTGCTGATGACCGATTGCTTTCTTTTTATAGATGGCGACCGTTTCAACATACTGGAAACCTACAAGACCTGGCAAAGTGCGCAATACTCATCGAGGAACATATTCCGCAAGGTGGAGCGGGATTGGAAAATGGCCTATTTGGCGCGCCTAGGTAGGTTCTCTATATAGCTAACTCTCCCTATTTTATAGCTAATATCAAATATATGTTTACAGAGGGCACGGACAGCGCTGAAATCATTTGGAAATTTAATTTGAGCAAATCAAATCTTAAAGTTAAATCCTACAAACTCATATTCGAAACAAAAACCTTTGGCGAGGGCAAAATTAATGTGAGCATGGAGACCAATGATGGCAATAATTGCATCGAAAACGCCAGTGAATTCCAGATTGTGGCCAAGTTGAGTGGCGTGGATTGGCAGCACTCGCAACTCTTCAGACAGAGCCTAAACTCAAGGGAATATCCGTTTGAGTTGCAACTAATATTGCATTAACGTGAACAATTACCAATTATTTTGATCGGATTCCCAATTGTATTGTAAATAAACCCGACCTACCTCAAGCTTTATATTAAAAGGATTTTTAAGAGGAAATTGTGGAAAATAATGCAATAAATTATGTCCGACG